ATCTATATTTTTCAGCAGATTCCGAAGCGTTACCTTCATATATATTGTTGGGTTATTTGTTGTTTTAGGTATTATTAGCTAATATTAGTTATTGAAAACAAATGCCCCATTGAAGCCACAATTGATTTACAACCAGAGCGCCTTTTAATACTAGTTCATAAGTAATACTGATTCTGGCTCTAATATATCCTTCAGAATGTTCCTGGGCTGAACGCTATTGGAATCAAGCGTCTCTTATGAAACCTAAAAAATTCACCTTGCTGGTTTTTTCCTAGCACTGATTATCTTTTTCAGCAATTCTAGTAGTGGTATGCTCTAATTATTAATGACATATCTGAAGTGTTCAATTTGATGCCATATTATCATGGTCTAGCCAGTGATTAATTAATTGCGTCCACTATACTTAATATCTTTCTTTTCACTTATTTTATTTTCTCAGTCAGGGTTTGTTGCCTTTCACCGCCAATAGCGTAACTTTTCAGTGCTTTGTCGTCATAGATCTTTAAGATAGTACAATCACTAGGTTCCTTTTTTGTATTCTCATAACTTTATAAGACTTATCGGAGAAGAAATTTCAGATGAATTAAAGTTAAGGATTATAATTTTAGCTGATTTTAACGTTAAGATTTTTGCCGTCGTTTTAATTGTGATAGCTAATGCTACAATTGTGAGGTAATGATGTAGTATCAATGGTTAATGATCCGTCGATTGCATCTTCAAAGAAGTGCTTTATCATCCTCTGCATAATTGATTTTCACGATTTTCTCCTTTTTACTATTTTTCTTACTAATAAATCAGACGCCCGGCGGAATTCGAGGCTGATGATCTTCTGCTTGACCACGATGAGAACCCGATCCTTGGACCCATTAGCAACTCAGACTCATCCATTCGTAATTCTGCAGATTTAAATTCAGAATCAACGCAAAAACAACCGACAATTTGGGCACTTCTCCGTACTCTTTTGTCTACATTTGCTGACCGGATGCTTGCCGGCTGGATATTTATGCTGGTGCATACACTACTAGTTTATGCGGATCCTTTGCTGCTAAGGTGAGTCGTCGATTATATTATTCAAGCATTCCAAAGGCATTTAAAATTTATTGAAATATGTTTAAGTTCTAAGATTGTTTGGCTACTTTGTATGATCATTATATTAAGATATTCCTGGCATAGGATTGGAGGAAACAACTTGAACAGAAATTACTGATTTTTCATAAGTCTGAATCTACTTACATGACAAAAAGGAATGTTTTTGTCTCAAATTAGTCTTTTATAGCAAGCGCACACGATGTACTGACTTCTGTTCACTATAGAATTTAATTTGTGGAATATGAGAAAAATCCTTTTAGAATGCATCTGTTATAAATTGCAGTATTTCTTTACTTAGACTTGTATTGCATCCGTGACTCCTGAACTGTGCGCCCCAGGGAGCTGCGGCTTCTTTACAGGGACGCCGCGAAATATTGTAACAGCTTCATAATTAATTTAACCTAGACATTTACCCTAACTAAACAAACACGTCAGAGAAAACGCTGCGTCTTCTCGTTCGCGCCATATGTTCGCACTAGACACGTCGAGGTGTGTAGAACCTTCGCTACATATTTAGAATGTTCTGGAAAATCTTGTGGAAGGTATATAAGCAAACGTTGCCGGCTCGATTCAGTCG